AATCATCCAATCTTTTCATATTAAGTATTTAAGCATAGAAACTATTCATTTTCCAAGACGTGCTCATCTTTCTACTTCTTTTTAAACTGTTTGATTACCCCCCTAGCTTTCAACTTGCAATTATGTTATAGTTTAAATCTAAGTTATTCCAACATCATCAGAAAACCAAGACCAGTTGTGACATACCACCCCTCTTTCACTCTCCTTTTGTCTTGGAAATACATTCAACAGGTCTAACATCGTATACATTTCATTCACTTCTCCCATTTTCTCAATGTGCTTCTTTTGTTTCTGTGACTCTGTTTTCTTCCATATTTTGACAGGGAAAGACACATCCAAAGCAGTAATTCGATTTTTAACCTCAGTTTTTCTAGCTACTGTAGCTACATAGCTTACTGGGTGACACATCATCCCCTTTATATTGTCTGGTATCGCTCTCAATACACACAGTTCTGGCATTTCTTTTAACTGTGGTTTAACATCTGATATTTTCTCTTCTTTAAAACCATTGATTAAGTCTTCGATCTGATTTAAATGCTCATTTACCTGCTTAAATCCTGTCAATATTGTCATTTGAAAAGTAACTTGCCATTCTTTATCTGACCATGTCTCTGGGCGTTGGTCTCTAGTTTCCCCAGGGAGCGATTCCATCTTTCCAGTAAGTATGATCTGTATATATAACACTCTTTAATTTCCACCATCTTATCAACAAACCAAACCCTCACTTGGTACTTTCTCTCCCCCTTACCCAGATATTATAGTGTACAAATCAACCTCTCATCCAATGCATTAAAATACAACTATGGCAATATTTTCAGAGAAAAACAAGAAACCAAAACACAGGTAAACACAGGAAATGAGTCTCTTTCTTAGATGTTGTTATATTCCATCCTGTCCAGGTTTTGTAAGCTGCTCCCTTCAGTCCTTTGTCTCGCTGTTGATTTCCAGACCGTTTCTTTTTCTTTTCTTTTCTTTTGCTTTCCAGAGTTTATTCCTCCTTCACCCAGCAAGGTTCTGTTATCAGAATGTCATTCATCAAACTCCTCAGTCTGTTCTGTTCAGATCGTATCACTCTCAATTCACAGTCTTTTTAACATCCAAAGGCTTACTCCTCCTTCCCCAGAAAACGAAACCCAGCTCAGTTTTTTAATCAGAGTCCCACACAGTCTAAGAAGAGAAAAGGAAGAAAAAGCTCCAATGTATACCACTTTCACCAAGTTTTAGTCCCTTAAAGCCTGTCCAATGTTCATTTCTCTGGGATTGTTTTTTACAAAAGCACCAGCTATTTCTGTCTCACTGTTCTCTCAGTTTGACCTTGGGCCAGCTTAATGAACAGAAGTCTAGTTTCCTTTCATTTTTGAGGTGCCAGCTAGCATGCCAGATACGCCGCTGTTATCTCCTTTCGGTCGTAAATTTTCACACTCACTTGTTCTTTGTTTTAATGGGGTTTTTCATAAAACAAGGGCTTCCACTTACTTTGTTGTTGCATATTTTTGCCGTGCTTCTTGTTCTCTTATCCTCGGCGACGGAGTTCTCCTGGCTTGTTGCCCAAAATGGCTCCCGTCTTTGGTCTGTGCTTGTGTGAATTTTCAGAAGGAAGAAAAATCGAGTTGCTGCCCGATCTTCTACCTTCTGTGGCTCACCATCTGCTCCAGAGAGGTCTCTCCTGACCTCCCCTTCGATTCCCCCATTTCTAGGGGAATCCCAGGCCGAGCGGTTCCAGCTTTCCTGGGAGCTATTCCCAGAGGCTGCTGGCTTCACCACAATGAAGCTCCTCCCTCAAACAAGTCATTTTAGAAAGTTATTCAAAATCTGTTAAAATATATATCTTTAGATATTACAAAAGCAAAAAAGAGCATGGCAAAGCATAATTCATCTAAATAAGTCACATAATTTTACTCCTCCTGACAGAGATTCTCTCCCCTTCTTGATGAACAACAAAATCTGTGTGTCTTCTCTGAGTCTAAACAAAGCAAAAGCTATTTTATTTATACCCTTGGATTTCCAGTGTAGCCAAAACAAATTTAACCAAGCCTTTGAATTCTCAGGAGGTTAACATCCTACGCTCTATACAGCCTGGAGAAATAAATTGTTATTTCTCCAGTCTGTATAGATTGTAGGATCCTAAATTTCAAGGACTTGAGCATAGAATCATCCATCCCATGAGTTAACATAGGTTCATATAGTTTAATAAGCACAATGCAGCATGCCTGTTTCATATTCATTTCTACTATATTCATTCAGTGAAATGTTTCTCCATTTAAATTTATCATTTTCTTTATATAACTTGATGTAAATTTATAATTGACACTGCATAGAATTGGTTATGTGAATTGGTTTTCCAGGATGGGTGACTGATATTACCCAGTCAGACTTCTCATTAAAGCCCCTCACTGCTTGTGCTATGTCTTGCCTTGTTATTACAGCCACGCTGTTCCTTCCGACTTTGTTATTTCCAGAGGAAAAGGTATTTAAAGTCAGATTGAAAACATACTATTCCAGATCACTTTAGTTTGCTCAACCCCATGCAATAACAATGCCGATGATGACTATGATGATAATCTGCCATCATGTGAACTCAGACCCACAGCGACCCTTTCCAAGAGGTTCCATGTAAAGAATACTCAGAAGTGGTTTCCTTCCTTCTGTGGTTGCCCTGGGATTGTGCAGCTTACCCGGGGCCACACCAGCTGGCTCTGTTTAAATATTCTATTTCCTGCATTACAGTTGCCCGATAGCTCAGTGTTTGCATTATGAATGACAGAGTGTGTGGGTTCCAGAAAGACCAGCACCTTAAGCCTAAAAAGATGGAGACTTGCAAGGGAAGATGGGGTGGTGAGCCTGAAACATATCTGCAAAGAATTACAAGAAAATAATTTTTATTAACCAGAAATTGCATGCATAGGCAAAGGATTGAACTTTTCGACTTGTTTGTCCAGACATAAGGGGAAGTAAACTGGAGAAGACTGGCTGAAAAAGGAGGAAAGCAGGCTGATCTGCAGTAAAGGACACCCGCAAGGAATATTCCTGTCTGGCAACAGCTGACTGTACTTGCCCAGGAAATCAGGCTCTGCCCCCTTGCGTGCTTATGCCTCCCCAGGTTCAGCCCATAGACCAGGGTGGGCAATTAATTTCTATGGGGGGGGCACATGAAAAATCTGAACTGTGTTCGGGAGCCGAACCAACTTTACTTAAAAATAAAATGAAACAGTGATGTTATGATTGTTTTTATTTTAAACTTGTTAATCTTCACAAATACTAGAGGTTTTTTTGGCGGTATGTTAAAGATAAGCAACTGATCAACTTTAGACAAAAAGCTATAAATGGTTTTGAGGTTCAAAACTGTCCGCGGGCTGGACAGGGGCGGCTCGCCGGCCGTATGTGGCCCTCAGGCTGCACTTTGCCCAGGTCTGCCATTAGACACAGCCCACAGGGAAGATGTCTGTAAGAAGGCTGACCTAGGAAGCGAGATGGTGGGCGCAGTGGTTAAGCCGCTGTACTGCAGCTAAAACTGTGCCCACGACCCAGGGTTCAAATCCCAGGTAGCCAGCTCAAGGTTGACTCAGCCTTCTATCCTTCCA